ACGTGGGGCTGCCAGCCACCAGGTCCGTGGCGTCTCGGGAGAAAGATGGGGCTTTCTCTGCTCCTACACAGTGACAGTCCGGGAAACCCACAGGGCAGGTCCACCCTGTCCTACAGGGTGTCCATGAGTCGGCATCGACCGGCTGGGGCTCATGGCCTTTCAGTCATGCAGCCCGTCCCTCGGAAACTCCAGCCCGACTCTAGAAATGTCCAGGTGTGTTCCTAGCGGGTCGGAAATGACCGCGCTGGGCTTTCTCTCAGCCACGTGTCAGGGGGACCCACCTCTGCCCTCCTCCAGAGAGAGGAGTCTCCGAGCTGGGCCCCCTCTCCTGCACAGACGGGCGAGCGTGCCGTTGAGAAACTGCTGTCCTGAGTCAGTGATGGTGCAGGTGGTGTCGGGCTGGGATCCTCAGTGGTTTGGGATCGTCACCCCCCACGGTAAGATCTGATGTCACGTCCCGTTCTCCACATGAGAGCTGCTATGAGCAGGGATGCCCTCCGGGGTGTGGCCTGCTCCCAATCCCCGTGGATGTTCTGGGAAAGCTCACTGGGTCTGGCTCCTGCGCCTGGCTCACGGCCTGGCCTTCTGGCCTTTGGACTTGAACTAGCACCTTGCCATCTCGCCTGCCCGTCTTGGGGTCACTTGCCTCTGCCACTGGAGGCCTGCTGTTGGAGCTGCCGCTCTTGGGCCCCATCAGCCCCCACTGCAACGATGCCCTTCTGATGCGTGTCGCACGGCGTGGGCCTTGTCCGCTTCTGCAAGTGCACCGGCCACTTCCTGGAGAGGAACTGAACTTCCGTGGGGCGATCAAGATGAACAAGCATCGCTGTCTGTGCCACTCTGCAGCCCGGTCTCGGCCGTTCTTCAGGCCCCCGTTTAGCCCAGAGGAGGGGCTCACTGTGGTGTGAGGGAGGAGGTCGCCTGGCCCCCAGCCCTGCTCCCTGCCCTCCGCTTTCTGCCTCTGTTGTCTCCACCACCCAGCCCGCTCTCACATCACTCTACAAAAACCCGGGGTCCCAGCCAGGCAGAGCTGCCAGGCTCATTTAAAAGTGAGGCGGCCAGACCCAGAGATGGGGGTGGGGCCTGAGGTATGTGACCATCAGAGGATGACCAGGACAAACAGCCAGTCCCTGGGGACGTATAGTGACTACTGCCCCATCAGGGTCCCTGTGGTACGTGTCCCCCGCCAGGCCCCCGTGGCACATTGCCCACTGCACGTGTCTCCCCGCCCCGCACCCCCAGGTCTCCTGCTGGCTCTGTTAAGCAGCGTCCACCAGGCATATTCCTGGGCTCTGCAGTGGGGCACCCCACTCCTCTGGAAGCTGGCTCCCTGCTTCCCCGCTCCCCGCCTCACCCCCACCCCCATGCCAATCCGTGGCAAAACCCTGCTGCCGGGCGATTCCCTTCCGTCCCAGCACGCGCCCCTAACTACAATCCCAGCCCCGGCCGCACTCGCTCCATGGGGTAGAGGGGGGAGCTGTAAAGCCTCTTTAAAAGGGGTAATAAAAGTTTTGGGTTTCATATCCTCTTACTGCAGAAGAGAATAACAGAGACAGGAAATTTCAGTAGCAGACATGACAGAGGTCACAGGCGCAGACTGCCCCCAGACGGAAACACCTCCGCTATGCAAACAGAGGCCGCTGGCGGGGCCCCAGCGCTCCCCATGCCAGCCTGGCCCCAGCCGGGGAGACACAGCCGCCCGGCAGTAAACTGTTTTGTCTACGTCGCTGTAAATGTTTATAAAACTTCTCGGCCTTTGTGCTGTGGAAGGATGCTGGGCGTGCGCGCGTGCGTGCGTGTGTGTGTGTGTGTGTGTGTGTGTGTGTGTGTGTGTGCCTGTGTGTGTGTGTGTGGGGTGCGTGTCCTCACACTGGAGGGGGAGTGCCTGGGCATGGGGTGGGGGTGGGAGTGTAAGTGGACAGCACTCTGGTCTCTGATCCCTGCTCCAAGGTTTGCAGCGGGGCCCAGCGTGGGTGCCGGGCCCTGTTAGTATCTACTTCACTCAAGTTCTAGAATCATCCATTTTGGGGGAGAAGGATACTTCTCCCCGACTCCCCCTCACAGTTGCCCTCTGACAGGGTCACTTGGTTTAACTTAGGATCTCCCAAACCAATAACCCCACAGCCCAAATAAAAAAAATCCAAACCCACAGAATCGAGTGAGTTTAGCCTCGCTGTGAGCCCGTGGGGCAGAGCAGAGCTGCACTGGGTGTGGGGTGTCTGAAGCCCCTGTATCTATGGGAGCAGACGGCTACATCTTTCTCCCTCGGGGTGGCTGTGGATTTGAACTGCTCACTATTCAGTTAGCTGCTGAACGCTCAACAGCTCTGCCACCAGGGAGCCATAGGCCCCTGGCTAACCAGAACCAAACCCACTGCCATCACGTCGGTCCTGACTCAGAGACCTTACGCCGGCTTTCCCCCGCGGTCCGGGAGCCCTGGCAGAGTGGTGGGCTGGGCAGTGCACCACGAGCCACTGGGTCAGCAGTTGGGGACCACCAGCTGCTCCTCTGGAGAAAGATGAGGCGCTCTGCTCCCATCAATAGCGGCAGTCCTGGACACCCCCAGGGGCAATCTCGTCCTGTCCTGCAGCGCCGCCGTGAGTGGGCATCCCCTCCGTGGCAGGGAGGTGTTTGTGAGTGACTGCTCATCTGCGCCAGAGCAGACAGCCTCATCTTTCTCCCGAGGAGCTGCAGGTGGGTCTGAACCTCTGACGTTGCAGTTAGCCCCCAGCTCCCTCAGGATTCGAGACCCCCTTATTGCCCAACCCTGCACTACCAAGTGGGCAGCCGCTGGGTAAAACCCAGGACATGAAGGAGAGGAGCGTGTCTCTCAGGCCAAGAAGGTGAACCCACCCGCCTGCCCCATGAGCTCGCCCCACGGTGTGTGAGGCGCCCTGGGCTGCAGAGTGATTTGCGCGGCACACCTGCCAGCTGGAGGGGCGGTGACTGCCGTGAGATTAGGTGGAAGCGTTAGAGGTGTGCCCAGCACCCCAAGCCGTGTGCTCTGAGGTGCAGCTGCAGTAATGGGGGACCTGAGCAGCCAGGCACCCCACAGCGTCCTGAAGCCCTTCCCAAGGCTGAGGTGAGGTTCTCCAGGCTCCGGCTGGGCTGGGCAGGAGCAGGTGAGGGCAGGGTGCCCCTCAGACGTCAGTACCCGTGGGGACGACATGGAGCAGAGGGATTCCCCTCCCGGGGTTGGGGCAGCTCCATCTTCCTAGTCTTGAGGTGTGGGGTTCATTCTAGGTTGGTGAGGGAGTGGGGTACCCCTTCCCTCTGAACCCTGGTCAGAGCATCCAAGAAGCCAGAGGGGGTCTTCCCGCTGGAGGCAGCGAGAAGGGTGGCCCCTGGGAGCAGGTGCTGTCCCCGTGGGGTGGGCAGGCCTCCCTGGCCTTCTGTGGCCTCAGCTGCAAAGTGGCTGCGCCGGCCGTGCCCACGCCCTGCTGTCTGGGGGCCTCCTGTCTGTGGGGTGCAGCTGGGCCGGGAGTGCAGCAGGCAGGCGCGGGCCTGCGGTGGCCGGGCTGAGGGCTGGAGCGCGCCCCTAATTGTCCATGACTTACAGACTTGGCCGAGCTCCCAGACGGCCTCCTAACTCAGTAGCCAGCAGCCCCGAGGGTGGCCCAGAGCCTCAGCCCGGCATAGCAGCTTTGGTTTCTCGTGTGTGCCTGGGGGCTGGGGCCCAGTAGGCTGTCACCCCCTGACCTATGGCCTGGTAGGGAGATGGGGAGCCAGGGTGAGACCTCGTCTCTCTGCTGGGCATCAGTAGAGAGTGGGGGTCCTTTGGTGATCTTGACCTTGCTGGTGGACGAGCACCCCACGGCCTCCACTCTGAAACCTCAGCTTCCTCATCTGGAAAATGGGACTGTGGTCTTGTCCCTCCTGAAGCGCTTGGTCAGGGCCCAAGAGACCAGGAATTCAGGGCTCGGCACCCAGCAGGCCGCCAGTGGGCAGTGGGGTGGTGCTGCGGGCTATGTCTGTCCAAGGGCTGAGCCTGGCCCAGGGTCGAGGGGTCCTGTGTGCGGGTGCATCCATACTGGGAGGCTTTTGGAGTGACGGGAAGCAGGTCGGGGTCTGAATTGGGGTGCATGGTCTCTAGGACAGGGCTGATGGAGGAGTGCACCCTGGAGAGGGGAGGAGGGGGTCCGGAGGTCTGGAGCAGGCAGAGGAGGGAAAGGGACCCTTGCCATTACCCCCAACCTGGGTGGGAGAGGCAGGTCTGAGGCCTCTGGGGTGACTTTGGCAGTCTGGCCGGGGTAAGGGCCGGGGCTCCCTTGGAGTCACTTTGTGAGGTGATGTCTGGGAGGCTGGCTCCCACCACCCCCTGGGGCTGGGGCAGACAGTCCGGGGATGGGCAGCGGCTGCCCCTGCCCTGGCCCTCGGGTGTACTTGGCCTGGGAGGGCTCTGCTGCAAGGGCCGTTTCCCTGAACCCCAGCTGGGGAGCCGTGGGCAGTGTGGGGACCCCTCAGACTGGCCGGGGTGCTCATGTCTTCCCTCTGGACCTTCCCCATTTATCACCCTCCGAGTCCAGTCGCCTGCCTCTGTTGGGGGGAGTGACTGTGGTGCTAGGCGCCCCCCCTGCCCCGCCCTCCCGCCTGCTCCCTAGCAGCGTGCCGTAGGCGTTCAGAGGCAGAGGCAGGCAAAGAGGGACTTGCTGTAATTGGCATCATGGTGGGCAGGGGCAGTGCCAGGGCCGGGCAGCGGGCCCACTGGTCCTGCTTCCTAAGTGGGCAAATCCCGAGGGCCACCAGGCTGTCAGTCTAACAGGAGCACAGGGGTCCCCAGGGGACGGGTTCTGCCAGGATGCTCTGGGGACCGGGTGGGAGAGCAGATGCAGTCATGGGGTCCAGAGAGGTGTAGCCTGGCACCCAGAGAAAGCTGACAGGGAAGCTCCCGGTGGGTGCCGGACAGTGGGGCTGGCCAAGGGCACCTCTCTTGGCCGCCCCGGTGGGGAGGACCAGGGAAGCTGCCATTGAGGGTCCGGGGGGCCGACGGGTTGGCGGGGTCAGACGCAGGCACAGCACAGGGTGGAGCAGTCCAGCTTGGCGGGGGTCCCCGCGCTTCCCGCCTTCTTGTTGACCTTGGGTAGCAGCAGGGCAAAGGACATGGCCAGGGCGCAGTGGTAGAAGCTGTGGACGTAGGTGTACTCCCATTCCTGTGGGTGGGGGCGGGCCGGGGTGGGTCTGCAGCTCCTCTCCCTCTGAGGCCCACCCCAGCCTCTGCAGGGGTCGGAGGTCTGGGAGCCGGGCACACCTGGCACAGGGCCTTCAGGACTTCCCTGCTCTGCAGACTCCTGGGGAGAGGGCCAGGGTGTCTCCCCCTCCTGCCCTTGTTCCCCACCCTCTCTCCCCGACAGCAGTCCCTGGGGCTCTCCAGGGTCCCTCCCGCTGACCGCGAGCCTCAGCTCAAGCTCTCTGAGGGCAGGGCCCAGTCGCTGGCCTCTCTGCAGCGGCCTCTGCTGCCTCCCCTTGGTGTTGAGGGGGAGCCACCGGCTGGAACGAACTCCGGCCCCTCCTGGGCAGTGTCCACAGGGTGGTGGGTGTAATGGCCAGGGCGCCCTGACCCATCACGGCTTCCATCCCTCCACCCCCCCCACCCCCCCGGATTTGGTACCTCAAAGAAGAAACGTAGCATCAGAGCCAGCGCCCCAAAGCAGAGCCCGGGCCCGATCTGCTGGGTGTAGACGCTCTTGTCGGGGTACAGGCCCCTTTTTTCCTTCATCTTTGGCAGCTGCAGAGGGGAGACAGTGGGCTGGGACCCTCACTCAGACCCCAGGCTCAGGGTCAGCCCAGGCTGGAACAGCCCCTTCCTGGGCAGGCTCTTTCCTGCTTGTGACCCTGCCCGGCCCGGCCCCTTCCTGGGCAGCCCCTCTTTTGAATGCCGCCCTTCCCCACAGGACCCTGGGCTCTGGCCCGGCTCCTTCCCATCCCACCCCTCCCTGAACATGGCCTCACCACCCCGTGCCTTGCCCCTGCCTGGCTCACCACTGGGCAGGATAAGGGCCTTCCGGGGACCAGCTGCATCCGCTGCACCCCACCCGCTCTGCAGACTAACCAATAGGAACCATTCCCGAGGGGCCCCCTTTCCCTACTGGAGACCCCTCAGGCTAATAGGTTGGTGGGGATGGTGGTGGTGGTGGGGACAACCTGTGCCCCTCCCTCTCTCTGGGTTGCTTTCTGTCTTCCAGCTGGGGAGTGGGGGGGG